TTTATTTCATTTAATTGAATTTTCTTGGATAATTCAAATTATAACAGCTAATCATTCGAATAATGAAAAAAATAAATGGAAAAATGATATTCATGTTATTTAGTATAATGTGAGGCCGTATCTAGGAACAAACCACCAATTTCGAACATCTTGTTCACGAAACATGACCACGAACTTGTGGTCGAGTTGTTTTTAAATTCTATAAAAAGCAAACGAAGTCCAAAAAACATGAAACTTGTCCAGATGTCATGATATCATATGTGCAGGCTGTGATAAAAATTTGAGAATGTTTCACGTAAGTTGTCACGTACGATGCTTTTTTTTTATGCAAACATGACTAGTTAATTTTTTTTTGATGCAAACATGACTAGTTTACCTCGCTCTTGCAACTTCTCTGAACATTTGGCCTTTTCTACTCTTCTTTACAATAAAGACATGAACATAAATACATAATGCTCTACACTGTAAACTTTGCCGTGATACAGTTTGGTTGTTTTGTTTTAAACATAATTAATGTACATGAGCTGCAAATCTCAAGTTGCTAAGACGGGCACTTTTCATGCTACATTTTATTCACTGAGTGTTTTCGGTTGCACGTGCATGACTGCGTAAGTTCTGCAGAGGAGAGACGTTGTAAATCAAACATTGGATCTTAATTTGCTTTCGCATCTTTGTAGGCCAAGTTTCATATTTCTGATCTCTATTTTCTTTGACGTGCTGATGTATATGGCAGCCAATGAATCAATAATATCTACTAATATGCTGCAACAGTAGGGATGTTGTGACTGCTAGAATATTACTGTATGGAAACAGTTGCAAATCTTAAGATTTTGATGGCATGTCATGGCAATTAGATTAATTTCCTTTGCCCCCAATTTCCCCCCTTCTTTTCCTAAAATGAGATTTAATTTGCATAACAAAGGGAAAGACTTGCATATAACAAAGGGAATTTTGTTTTGTCTCTGTCATCTTTTCAGATTCCTGAAGGGCTCAAACGGCATGTCACATCATCCAAGAAAGCACAAATTAAATGGTAGGGAGAGAACTTTTGAAAAGCTTATATATGCAGCTGATGTTTTTTCTAATATTTGCACATTGATTCTGTGTACGTACTTATAGCAAATGTGCTTCCATTCCCCCTCAGAATTGTTCGATACAGTTAGTCTTTACCATAACTTGCTTGACTGAAAGACTATGTTGTTGTTGTCGTCGTCGTCTTTACCATATCACAAAAAAAGAGTTCCAGTACGGAGTTGGATTTTATAAGTTGGGGGTCGTTTTCAAATTGACTTAAGTTTCAAGCAGGGAATCACTCAAATGCTTTAATTTTGGCATTTCTTATGACAGGGACCTCCAAACTTATCAAATATAACACAGATGAGCAAAGCTTTTGCTTGCTTAATTCTAACAAAAAGGTACCAACAAACAATGGGCGGAAGAAATACTTTCAGTTCTTAACTAATGTTGTTAAGAGCTGAGAGTCCAAATATACATCAGCTTTGTCAAGACATTAACTTCTTTGAAATGTGCACTACCTTGATTTAGTTTTACTTGTGGTGTAGGACATCAACAAGGTTTCTAGTAACGTATTTGAACGTTGATTTTTCTAGTTATATGCTAGCAAACTTATTGAAAAATATAATATACCATAGAGTAAACTTGATAATAAATCTAACTGGTATAGTTTTCACTTTTCAAGTGACGTATCCAAATATTGTTGCTTCTGTGGTGACAATCTAACGGGTGTAGTTCTGCCACCTTCGCTATTCGCTCCACCTCCACCTCCACCTCCTCACTATTCTACTCCTATGAGTATAAATATTTTAGTTTGTATGTTCATGCTTATGGTCAAACCTAGTGGAGTATGAAAGTTTTATTCATGTATGGTATATATTTATCTTGTCTCACACATGCAATATCTTCTCCTTTGTGCAGAATCAATCGGCGGCATCGAACGATCCTCATGCTTCAGCGAATCCTTCACCAAATCAGTCTCATTGGCCATCTTGGTGATGATACTTGTGGTTGTTAATGGTACTTCTATTTGCAATTGTGGTCGCAGATGATGGAGCACTTGGATTACTTGTGAACTTATTTGTGATATATTGTGAGACATGTGATGTTTGTGATATATATGTGACGTTTGTGATATATATGTGGTGTTGGTGATATATATGTGATGTTGATGGTATATATGTGATGTTGGTGATGTTTGTTATATATATCTTCTGTTTATTTGGATGGGATGTAAAAAACAAATAAAAAAAGCTGTTTTCAGTCACTTTGCCGAGTGCAATGGCCATGACACTCGGCAAAGTGATTACCTGGGAACATGTTTTGCCGAGTGCAAAGGCCATTGCACTCGGCAAACATCACAGATTTGCCGAGTACCACGGGCCAGGCACTCGGCAAAGGTCGCCTGCTTGCCGAGTGTCTTGCCGGTGGCACTCGGCACCAGTGGCCACCTTTGCCGAGTGTCTGAGCCAACAGCACTCGGCAAAGCCGCCGTCACGGTGGCGCTCGCCGTCACGGCGATTTTTCTTTGCCGAGTGTCAGATTAGCACTCGGCAAAGACTTTGCCGAGTGCCCAATAAAGTGCACTCGGCAAAAAGGTCTTTGCCGATAAACTGTTTACCGAGCGCCCTTTGCCGAGTGTAACACTCGACAAAGACTTTTCCGAGTGTATATCAGCCTTTGCCGCAAAGAAGCTGAATCCGGTAGTGCCTGCCGTGTGTTGACACATATCTAGAGACATACTCACTCCGTCTCTAAATGTTAGCCGCCAAGATTTACGTGTTGATAACTTTGACTTGATTTATAGAAAATACGTGCAATATTTCTATCTCTAAATAAATTTATTAAAAACTAGATTCAAATATCTATCAATGATACTAATTATGTATCATAAATATTAATATTTTTTAATATATATTTAGTCAAAGTTATTTCTCGGGACGAGAAAACAACAGCCATTTAGGGACGGAGGGAGTAGATAAAGATTGAGAGGGCTGGGGGAGAGATCATCGATGGAGATGAGCGCGAAGAAGAGCAGAAGCAGCATGAGTAACCACAGCGGCAGTGGCAGCGGCAGCACCACGACGACGACGGCAGTGGAGGGAAGGAGGTCTAGAGAAGTAGGAGGCAGCCGATGACGAGCCTCTGCGTCAAGCTCGCCTCCCTCATCCCCAAAGAACACTATTCCTCCAAGGTGATGTGCATTCGAATTAGGCCTCTTCGATATCCATTGGGCTAATTGTTATTAACCAGCTAAAAATTAGATCTAGCCTATCGAAAATTTGTGAACAAGTCTTTAACTAATTGCTAGCTAACATCGGCTAATTTGGACTAATTTTTAGCCCTAATTGATCTAAACATGTCTTAACGTGGCTTCATCACTCTGAAGAAGATTTTCCTATTCCGCGTAATTGGTCGAGGCTAATAAATCGCTAGTAATTACTGGAATTTCTATTTGTTTAGCTTGTTGAGCCCTTTAATTCTGACCTGCAAGGTAGTCATCATCCCTTCTCTCGCCACATGAAATATTATTGATGAAAGCTATATTGGCTTATACGAGAACACAGATTTAGTAATTCTCGTGGAGAATGTTGCTTTACCAGCAGTAGTTTCCCTTTAAGAAAAAACCAACAATATTTAATTCTTTAAAGTGACGTGTGTGTGATTTTGGTAAAAATTCTGTGAAATTTGTGAAGATTCAGAAACCAACAATATAATGTATATAGATAGCCCTAATAATATTAGTATATACAATGTATGTACAAGTGCAGGATGCTATGACTCATCTGGGTAGCCTAGACGAAGCAGCCACGTACATAAAGAAACTCAAGGAGAGGGTGGAGGAGCTGCGGCAGAAGAGGACCTCTGCAAGCCTCATGGCTGCTGCCGGCATGAGACGAGGCGGAGGAGGACACTACCGGAAACGTTAAATTTACCGAGTGTTTTTATGTTTGTCGAGTGTATTCTATCGGGCACTTGGCAAACAAGTGATTTGCCGAGTGCTTCCCTAAAAACACTCGGCAAAAAAAAACACTCGGTAAAGAGGAGGTTTGCCGAGTGTAAACAAAACACTCGGTAAAGAGGGGGTTTGCCGAGTGTTTTTTATTGACACTCGGCAAAAAAATAAAATCTTTTTTTATAGGAAAGAAGGAGCAGAAAAAAATGAAAAAAAAACCTTTGCTGAGTGCCCAGATCTAAGACACTCGGCAAAGGAAAAAAATCTTTTTCTATGAACCAAGGAGAAGAAAAAAAATAAAAAAACTTTGCCGAGTGCCCAGATCTAGGACACTCGGCAAAGGAATAAAATATATTTTTTAGAAAAAAGAAACAAAAAAAAAAAAAAAGTTTGCCGAGTGCTCAGATCCAGAACACTCGACAAACAAAATTTAATATAACAAAACAAAATTTAATATAAAACCGCCACCGCCTCCTCTCTCAAAATCTCCTCTCTCAAATCCGCCGCCTCCTCTCTCCCATCTCCTGGCGCCCTCCCCTCCCAGCGCTGCCTCCTCTCCCCTGGCGCGGCGTGGCCCTCGGCCCTCCTCCCCCCGGCGCGGCGCGGCCCTCCTCTCCCCCGGCGTGGATCCGGCGCCCTCTCCTTCCCGGCGGCGTGGCGGCGCAGATCCAGCCGGATGCTCTGCCTTCTTCCCCGACGTGGTGGCGGCGGCGTGGATGGTGGTGGCGGTGCTGGTGGTGCGGCAGTGGTGTCGGCGTCCCTTTTTTATTTTTTTTGAAAAAAAAGTTTGCCGAGTGTTTTTTTTTTTCACTCGGCAACTTCTTTGCCGAGTACCCGACAGAAAACACTCGGCAAACTAGCGTTTGCCGATAAAAATTCGCCGAGTGTTGTTTGCCGAGTGTAACACTCGGCAAACCATTTGCCGAGTGTTTTTGGACTTCGCCGAGTGCCCTTGGCGGGGCAGTCGGCAAATGTTCTGTATCCGCTAGTGGGAGGAGGCACCTCGACATCGGTGGCGACGATCACCACAATGAGCGGTGGCGCGGGGTCATCATCAGAAGAAGCCGGTCAGCGGGAGGACATGCCGGCGGTGGTGGAGGTTCGGCAGCACGGCGACGGGGCGAGCCTGGACGTGGTGCTCAGCAGCAGCGTGGAGCGACCCTTCATGCTGCACAAGGTGGTCACCGTGCTGCAGGAAGAAGGCGCCGAGACCATCAACGCCAACTTCTCCGTCGCCGGCACCAAAATCTTCTGCACCATCCACTGCCGGGTACGTACACGTAGGAGTACCTCACGGTTCTCTAACCTTTTTGTTCCGGAAGCTTCAGTTTGATGTCAGATAGTATGCAGTGATTTTAAAACAACGTAAACAACAACATGGTGGCCGGTAGGTTTACTAATTAATTGGTGTAGCATTTTTTTTTTTTGTTTCTAAAACTAGCTAAGCTAGGTAGGGGCAGCAGATTCAACTACATTTGTTGCATTCAAATATTCATATATACGTACTGTATGTACAATATAGTAGTAGAAATGTCCAGAATCACGTAACATGCAAAAAAAAAAGGTCTAAAAAGATCCCGCGTGCATCAGCAAGCCTACAAGTCGACACGTGGCGAAATGAAAAAAATTAAAATAGAGCCGACAGATGTTTGTGCACCTTATGTTCCTGTCTTCATTTACGAGGCTACTTTTTCCCTTATCGTTTTAGAGACCTGCAATGTCTCCTATTGTCAGCGTCAATATTTTGGATCCACTCGTTCTGGCCATATCCTGTTTCTATCGAAACTTGCTAGCTCTTTCTAGAAACATGGTTTATTTTACTTCATGATAATTGATAAAAGCTGCACCTCGTATATTTTCATAGTAAATTTATTTAAAGATACAAATTTAATTTGTGGATACTATTTTCTTTCAACCTAATTAAATTTGAGATTGGTTGACACGAGGACTTGTTTTTGGATGGAGGAAGTATTCACTATATATGATGGGGTAAACCACGCCCCCCCCCCCCCCCCACCCACACACACACAATTATGTCGTTCTCTAATGTAATTAAATTTTTATTTACCTATAGTAGCCTTAGCCCCTCCATTTAACTAATTTACATAAGCATCCATTTAGGATAAGAGTGTCTGATACTACTAGATTCATGATCTCTTTACAATCGTCTCCTTTTTCCAAGGTAGTGAAGTTAGTCAACCACCTCTACAAATATCATGCAACACCACAGATTATAAACGCATAAGAAATCAATTTTTATGGATAAGTTTCTTATGTCAACCAGACTTAAAATGGATGATTTCTAAGGATGGTTGACTTAATTAGTTCGTTACCCATAAAGTCAACCTCCCCTGAAAATAGTTGTCGAACAAATAAATTCATTTTTTCAAATGAAATGTGATGAAGATAAACTTTATATTAAAATTGTGGAGCTTGATGAGATCTAAAATCTCATAGTTGATGACTTTTTATATTTGAGATCGGTTAGAGACCAAAAAAATATTTAAAAATCTCATATTTTAAAATTCATTTTTTTTATTTTTAAATGACCTTAGATGGAGATACGCCTATATAAAGTTGTAGTGCTCGTCTCGTTGTGATCTAAATTTTGTGATTAAAAATGTTTTCATTGAAGATTGTTTAGAGACAAAATATTCAATACAATATTCGTAAAATGTTAGTACAAAAGGATACTAACCTATACTTCATTGCAAATATTGTATGATGTGGTTGTAGAAGGGGGGCGTGAGGAAACAGATCATGTGTTACATGGTAGCCCCTTGGGCTCACAAAAATGTATTTCCTAAGTTTTTTATGATTTTAGAAAATCTAGAAATCATTTTTAGGGACTGTTGACTAAGTTAGCTTAATAAAACTATCCGTGAAAATATCTTTTTAATTTATTTTATCCATGGTTTAGAGGTTTAGCAAACCTCTTGTAAAAATCAATTTTGACCGTCCTAATCTGCGTGCTAGTGTGATTGAAGATATATATAGATATAGTCTTACTTTTTGTATGGATGTTTCTTCTAATATTGTTGGTAAATCGACGCCTCGTTCAAATACTCAATTATATTTCCTCCCTTGTGTAACTCCAGGCCTTTAGCCCAAGAATCGGTATAGAGGTTTCAAGAGTTTCTGAAAGATTAAGAGCATTGGGATGATACTAGACTGATATATTGCTAAGTTATATGACCAAGGCCCACATAGCTTTTTTCTGCTGTCTCATTCTTTACTGCGCGAAAAGTCTCCCAGGTCCATTTATTACCAAGTCATATATGCGAGGAATTTTTTTACAGATTAACAAAACTTTGTTAGCATTGTTGCTACAGTGGTAGTATATGAATATTTCAATCGATAGAATAAGACAAAGTCAACTTAACCTTTCAAATGGAAAAGAGAACATGCATAGATTACCCCCCGTGGGAATGCTCATGTGAGCGTCTATCGTCGGTGGATCAAGAGATACCACATAGATCCTTGCATAAGCTAGCTATAGGATCCCATAAAAATATATTTTAAGTTTACATTTAGAACATCTACTATCAAGGTATCAGAAAGAATACAATTCTAACTTTGTTTTCAGTTATCTTAATTTTGACCAAATTCATAAAAAAATATACTAGTATTTAACATACAAAATAAGTACAATAATTAGATTCGTCAAATATATTTTCATAGTATATCTATTTTCGAAGTGATGATTGGTGATAATATTTTCTATAAACTTAAGATAGTTTGACCCATATCAAATCTAAAATTACATTCTTTCTATAGGTCGAAGCTCTTAGTAATAATTAATTTAAGATTAATCACTGTCACACCCAATTTTAAGGATAAAATTGAATGTATAAAGCTCATGTGTGCCTAGGGATCAGTCACACACATAAGTCGACAAATTACATAAAGTATCATCACGGTGTCTCTTACATCACGATTAATAACATAACTTAGTCTTACACAACACAACGGAAAATAAAAAGATAGCTCTCACGTGGAAGCTCCAACACAGGGACGGTCAACTGGTTGACCACAAGTCTAATAGTCCTCAGGAAACTCCTCATACACGTTGTCATCTGTTACCCATCTGGGATTTTTATCCAAATATAGAAAGTAAACAAGCGTAAGTACGTCCCGTACTCAATAAGATAACATGGGGTTATAAAGCTCAAAAAGGTTGACACTGGTTTACTGCAGTTAGCACTTTTAGTAAATCAAGATTTTATTATCAAGTATTATCAAGTTATGCTTAAGCTCCCTTTTCTACCCACATAATCATATATCAGAACCATTTGCATCATATTATCATCATCCTATACCATCATAAATGAACAACAATAAGTAACCAATTATTCTGTGAGTTTTCCGGACCGCTCGTGACCGTGAGCATGGTCATTATAACGATCAGAACCCTCTCTAGAGAGGTGGTGCACATTCACCGCGAGTCGTGATTCTCATATACCCGGATTAATTACTCCCATATCACTGCCAAGGTGAGCGGGCAGGGTATACTATGAAGCCATTTCATAAGTTTCTCTAACAAGTTAGGGCCGCTAGGTTTCCTTGGCAGCCAGATGTAGGAACCCCCTTTCCTATGGCACATATCCATCGTGGCTATACACATAGGAACAGAGGCAGTCCTATACCCAACGTGGCAAGCCTCTTTTGCGCCATAAAGGTAACCTCTAACAAGCTAGAAAAGATCATATTACTGAGCTAAAGTCAGAGCCATATGACCCTCACGGTTGCACTGTCAGTCCCAGCTTTTGCCGACAGATAAGTCCTTATGGAGGGCCGAGAGCATCATGATCGAAAGTCATTTGCTACTTCGCCCTATAATTCAGTTGTTTAAAAGCCAATTTTACCTTTTCGTTCCATAGAACCATTACCCATTATGTAGATCAGGTATAGTTACATTGACCGCTAGCAAACTACCCATATGCATATAACCCATAGGAGACAAGGAACAGGATAATCAATCACTAGGATATCCTTACGGGTATCAAAATTAGACACATGCAAATGAGTAATTAATAAAGGTGAATAGGCATCAAGGTAGATCCCATGCTATACTTGCCTTGGTTAGCAAACTCCTGCTGGTCCTGCTGGTCGTCGAAGAACTCTTGGTCTCCAACGTTCTCCTCACCATCTGAACACGACCAACACGGCAACATACAATATTCCAGAAATATTCATGCAAAGCAAACAATCCTATGGTTAGAACAATACACCAATAGTATATAAAATAATATAAAATATTTATAAAAGAATCTATGTCTCGCTACGATCACATCAAAGCGAAGTTCACGAAAAACGGAGCTAATACGCGAAAGTTATGATTTAAGCGGGATTTCCTATAGCAATTTATTTAATTAAATCTAACCATAAAATTTAAAAGTTGCAAACATGATTAACAGTGGTACTAACACGTAGATTATGAAATTATGAAACTAACGCAATTTGAACGGGTCGATTCGGAGCTAAAACGATGATTTTATAAACAAAACAGTGCAATGGCATGTCTATAAATACTAAAAACATAATTTGGACTAAAACAATGTATTTTTATGTTTTCAAAAGGGGAAAGCGTACTCTGGAAATGTGCTTTGGACTGCGGGTTAGGACTTAGAAAAGCTCAGGGTCTCTTTAGCAATTATGCCAGGGCGAAAGGGTATCGGCCATCGGTGGCCGTTGGATTTGAAATGAACGGCTCGGATTAGATCTGGGAGGGAGAGAGAAGGTGATGGCGGCCGAGACAGTAGCTTCCGTGGTAGGGCACCATGGCCAGCGGCGAGGAACACGCCGGCGAGCTCGGTTCAGAGGCTACGGTCCACGATTCGATGAACTAACAGCATCTGAGAGTAGCAGGGGTTCTCGCGAACTCGTCTAGGCCGAGAAGGCGGCCAAAGGGGAGGGCCGAGGCGGCGGTCGCCATGGCCGGCGAGGCGGAGGTCGTCTGCACACCCTAAAACGGCCATACAAGGCACCATTTGCCAAAGGAAACGGTCGAGGAAGGAGAGGAGGGCACGGCTAATCTCACCGCGGGAAAAAACGAAGGCGGGGAAGACTCGAGGATGGCGGACCACGCGGAGGGGCGGACGGCGAACCACGGCCATCTTCGACGCGGCGGTGTTCGGCTTCCATGGCTCAAGCGAGTGTGAAATGGGAGCGGGGAAGCAGCAGGGGGAGCGGGGAAAGGCTCGGCTCACTTTTGTAGAGGCCGGGCGCGGGGAGACGCTCCCACGACGCGGACATGGGCGTGGAGCGGCGGTTGCGGGCTCGCGGACTGGCGCGGGGCGAGCGGGAGGATGGGGAAAGCGCTGACGCGCGGGCCCTGACCGTCAGCGGGTGAGGCGCTGAAGAGGACGCGGCGGCAGTTGCCAGCTGAGATGGGCCAAGGGAGCGGCGACGGTTGATCCGAGCGGTGTTGGGCCAGCCCAAGAGAAAAGC